TTATCCTTGGCCTCCTCGGCAGCTATTCGGACAGCATGTTCATACATGGTAGTGAGACGACAACATAAAATTTGATGTAACCGAAGAAAAAGGTACCAATTGTTGTTACACATGAATAATCTGTATTCATCATCCTGGAAGAAAAAAAATATACAGCAAATCTTCACTCAAAATTTTAAGAAAATAAAGCAATAAGCTAACAATAAAAATATACAGAAAAATACAAAAATTCTAACATAATTTAACAATGCAGATAAATTCAATAATTCTCACCGGCTGAACATTGCCATTCCCAACAGTTCCAGGCTCTTCTTTCACTTCCATTTTTTCATCATCAACTTCAGTCTTTATACTAATTTTTTCATCTTCAGTTGCATCACCATTGAGTGCAACTTTATTTTTATTATCATCTTTGGTTTTATTATTATTGTTATTATTATTATTATTATTATTATTATTCCCACTATTTTCTCTCCCACATTTCACATCACCATCTTTCTCTGGTTCAATACCTCTATTTCTAGTTTTTCGCTTATTGGAATTATTATTAGTGGCACAAGGGGTAGATGAAGTTTGCTTGCATTCACGTCCTCTCAGATCCCTCCGACCACCACCTTCACACTTTCCTTCACTCTTGCCATCATCTTCATCCTCTTCCTCTTCTGTGAGAAAATAGTAAAACATTATACCAAAAGTCTCCCAGATAGCACAAAAATTAGTATCATAATTTCAATCTGTATACAATATATTTAAACGAGTATGAATGAGACAGATTGGATTAATAATTTAAAACGTGTACATTTAAATAAGTATGAATGAGTGCTTGGACTAATAATTTAAAACTGTATACAGTATGTTTAAATGACTGCTTGGATTAGTATCTTAAACTAAGTGATAAAGTGAAAAAACTATTTGGAGAGAAAAATAAACATGGGTAAGACAGAGCTGCATATTTCAACCTCACAAGATCCAATTTTGACTGATTTATCTTTAACAAGTTTCGAATGTTTTTCTACTCTCAGAGCCCAGCCTCAGGCCAAACATCTTTGTTAAACTGCTGAATCTGAAATATGCCAGTTTCTTCTGTATTAATTGGTTACTAGCTTTTTATGCATGAGACTAAATACTTTACCTTCCATATCTTTCTCATCATCAGACATTTCTTGTCTTGTGTGAAAGAGAAGGTCAGGAATAAAATGTCTGACAATCTGCTTGATTTTGACCTTGTCATCTTTATGGTATGTTGTTTGTCTCTTGACATGGTGGATTACTAAGTTTGATGCATCATCTATTATAGATTTATCAGGATAATGAAGTACCATATGAGGGCCAGTAATAACTTCACCAGACTCTTCAGCTTGCTCATGACGCTAAAAATAGTAGAAAGTAAAAATAAGAACAAACAGCATTTTGTTTTAGAATACATTTAACTTAGTTCATTACTGACAAGCTACTAATGAAGTTGATCAACAATGAATATAGATAAATGGTTCAGAGAACCAACAAGTTGATAAAGTTACTAACTGACAAGTTTATCAACTTGTCAGTTCTCTGAACCATTTACCTACATACCTGTCAGGCACAGCAGCATCTTGTGATCTTAATACAGGGAATTCTTTACTTGCCTAACATTCAGGAATGTTGCATATGTGTCTAATTTATCATCTACAATGAATACACAAAGATGGATGGGAGGATCAAATTGTGATCCTGGTGATGGCAGGTAAAGCTCTTAACCACTGAGCTACAGGGCCTCTAATAGGAAAGACTCGGAAACAGAACTTCTGTCAATCTTTTTGTTTATCTACAGTAATTAATTATGATTTAAACTGGGTTCATAGACTATATGGTCCATCTACAATGTTCACAAAAGATATTGTATGTAAAGAACTGAAAAAAAATGCAGTAGCATGTGAATATATTAACTAATTTCAAAAGAAATTTCAGTCTTATACAAAATACACGAAAGTCCTGCAACAAAGGGATGGTCTCAATTGTTTACTGTATGCTCTATCCCCCAAATATGCTTTGTTTTCTTACATGTTCAAATATAACTATTCCTGAGCAATCTAAGAAAGACCAATTTAATTTATAGTTAATTTTGGTTTGGTCAATTTAATTTAATCTAAAGTCATGGAACTAAAATTATATAAACACAAGAGCAATATACAAGTGTCACTTAATTCATTGTAAACTACATGTAGTAGTTGTGTGTGTATAGTATTTATGCTCCTATTTAATTAAGTAATAGCACAATTCTATGACAAAGTAGCAAACATGATAGGGCAGATAGAAATAGCCTGTTTGAGAGGCAGGTAAATGGAAGGCACGGTTACAAGTTAAAGATGCTGGGATTTCAGGATGTATTTCTTCAGTCTCTGGGTGGTCGGGAAATGAAATGACCTCGACGAAGAAGTGGAGGTAGAATCCATACATAGTTTTAAGAATATATATACAATAAGGCCCATGAGGCTAGGAGAGAATGAATCTACCAAGAAGCAACTTGAGAGGTGGGACCCAGGAGCTGAGACTCAACTTCTGTAATCTGATTTCATGAACAGTAATGCAGGAAAAGAATATGGGACATTCTACAAGTATACAAAACAATAGACAGATGAGAATATGGAATGACATGGCAAGGCACAAAAACTAAACCAGTACAGGTCATTCACCATGGATACCAGTTAAAAGTAAATAACTTTCATTAACCCTTAAACTGTCCAAACACAGATCTACGTTCACATACGTAGTGCTCCAAAAGAAGATCTACGTTTTTTTACATACTTTCAAATGTTGAAAAAACGTAGATCTATGTCTGGAGAGTTTAAAGGTTAAGAAAAATAAGAAAAGCAATCCAGATTTTGAGGTTCCCATGCAGTGATTACAGTAGGCAGGGCACTCAATACATTTAAGAAGAAGGAAAAAATATTACCTCATCAAATAAAGTTTCAATGTCATTCAGAAGGCTTTTCGATCGTATCGTTTTAACATCAGTTTGCTTAAATGTAATACCCTGATGGTCCAGGGATTTTAGGTAATATTTTTCATTCTGCTCTCTCCATATTTTGTTAAAACCTTTCTGTGCTTCCCGCCATTCCTCATCCTGAAAAAAAAAACAAAATAATTTATTGTAAAACTTAAGAATACAGAAAATTAATCACCTGTATAATGACCAATTCAAAAACAATAAAACAAAAACATTTTCCCTTATTTAACAGTGTAAACAAGTTATTATTTACTAAAGGTACTCCTCAATGACGAAGTTAGGTTCCTAAGAGTAGGTCGGTAAGCGAATTGGTCGTTAAAAGAGATGCTGCCCCTTACTGATATTTCAAGCATACTGTACTGGTAGTAAGTCTGTGTTAACCATTTTTAGATATTGTTTTAATGTCACCTTAGTATGTTTAAAATAGAACTAGTCATTAAAAAACAATAAATAAGTAGATACACATATGGTACACTCATTACTTACCTTAAAATATTTGTAGTCTTAATGTAGGGCGAGAGGTGAGTAGCATTTATTGTAATGATACAATGCATATACAGTACACTCATTACTTACCTTAAAATATTTGTAGTCTTAATGTAGGGTGAGAGGTGAGTATTTACTGTAGAAAGAGGAAGAAGTGCAAATAATGGAAGAAATACAAAAGCTCAGTGTAATAGGGTTAGCTGGTGTGTTAGTCTGCAAGTGTACATTCTTGGTGTCTCTCGTGGCATCTAAGGGTAGGTGTCAGAAATTATTAAACTCAGTGAACAAGGCATGATGGTGGTAATAATAATAATAAAAATAATAATCGCTCTGGAGCACTTTAAATGTTATATACGTATTCCGTATAGGTTTTGTAGCTGACATTTAACCCTTTGGGGTTTCGAACGTACTAGTATGGCTTACAACCTAGGGTTTTTGACGTACTAGTACGCCTAAATTCTAGCACCCTCAAATCTAGTGAGAGAAAGCTGTTAGGCTTACATATGAAAGAATGGGTCTATGTGGTCAGTGTGCGCAGTATAAAAAAAATCCTGGAGCACACAGTGCGTAATGAGAAAAAAAAAAAACTTTGACCGTGTTTTTGGATTAAAACAGCGAATTTGCACTGTATTTTCATATGGTATTTATTGTTGTATTCTAGTTTCCTTGGTCTCATTTTATAGAATGGAAGACATATTACAGAAATTGAGATGATTTTGACTGGTTTTACAATGAAAAGTACCTTGATATTGAACTCAAAGTGGCAGAAATGTTCGATTTATACCAAAGTTCAAAAGTAAACAAATCATGCCAAGCATCCAATACACATCAACTGGTGAGTCTAATATTCTTTCACAAGTGCACTGATATTATTTATACCATTTCTACACCAATGCAGTAGTCTGCATAACAGTAAATCTTATTTTTTTTTGTAAGAATAAAATTTCAAAGTGGAAAGCCAAAGAAATATAAGAGGGGCCTGGGGATGTGACTAACGAACACAGAACTTGTTATTTTAGTGTCAGGAATGTCTTTCTTGTTTATTCTGGACCCTATTCGGAAATTGGCATCTTTTGAAATTTATGTGAAATTGGCAAAATTGCTAAATTTTGACCACTTTATTGGATAGTTGAAATCGGTAAATGGGTGGTTTCTTGTACTCAATCGATAGAAAAAAATAGAGTTCTAGCGAAATAGTTATGATTTTTGTTGACTAGTGCACTGGAATTGGCCGAAAATAGGGCTCAAAGTGGGCAAAATCACCGATGCGTATACATCGTCGAGACCGCTAACTTCGCGAGAGCATAATTCCGTATGTTTTCCATCAAATTTCATACTTTTGGTGTCATTATGATCGGAAAAAGATTCTCTTATTTTTTCATAAGATTTTTTTTTTTTTTTTTTTTGAAATTTGGCTGACCCTCAGAACAAGTCTCTAAGAGGACCTGCCGACCCCCAAAGGGTTAAAGTGCCCCAGAGTGACTGTTATAATCATTAATTGTTATAATCATTATTATTACCATCGACATACCTTGTTCACTGAGCTTATTGATTTCTTAAGGTGCCACAAGAGAGGCTGAGATATGCAGAGAATGTCAACACAGAGGCAAAGAAACCAGCTAACCCCTTACCAGTGAACTTTTTTTGTACTTCTTCTATTTTCCTCTTCCAAGTGCTGCTGCTCTTCTAACTCTCTTGTACTATGGGGTGCACAATAAAGTACAAATCCATACAAATATGAAGTCTTGAAGACTCTGAAAGCTAGTGTACCAAGTGGCTGCAGGAAGGAGATTGACATGCTTGACATTGAGATGAAGCGCTGCTCATTCCCATGACCCAAGTTCTCATACAGTATACAATACCAACTGGTTGGAGAGCTGGTCGTAATTCCGAGCAGTCGGTAAACGAGTACGTCAATAAGAGAGGAGTACTTGTAGAGTCCATGTGTGTAACATTCAACACATGCACACTAAATACTAGGTGCTCCACTCCAACTTGCTTTATGTTTTCTTCTATGTACCAGTGCAGTTTGGACACCTCAACAATTCTTCATTACCACAATAGATGTAAGAACCAATTTGGTTTTGGTCAGAGAAGTGGTTGCTTGAATTCAACCCAAGTAAATGCAAGGTCATGAAAACTGGTCTTAGACTAGGAACAAGCAAGCTGCAGGTTTCACTCAAAGTAAGACCTAAGTGTGAACAAAATACCCAGTATAATGACAAAGGATCACTTCATCTGAATAACTTTTGTAGCCAATGCTTGACTGGCAGATCCAGCAGTTCCCTCAGAAATCAATCAATCAATCAATCACTTTCTCTCTCTCTCCTTTCCCTTGAGTACACAACAGCCGGATACATCAAAGGCCATAATGGGACCCACCATGGACTCTGAGATAGAGCAGAAGCACTATCCAAACCACTAGCTAAGATCTACAACAAGTCAGTGGACAAGGGACATTTGGCAGAGATATGAAACAATGACTTAAGTCCCTATACTGAAGATAGAAGACAGGCATGAAATGTTGAACTACAGACTTCATTAATATCCATACCATATTTATATGTTATGCATCGTGTTTATTATATAATTTTGAAAACAATATCTAAGATGGATTAATGAAAATGTATATATTAACGTAATATACGACATTTAAATGAAACTCGATGATTATTATTATCATTACTAATATGACATCAGGATACATAGGACACTTACCGATTTTAATGTGCACCTTCATGCCAGCACAGTATGTAAGTTTATTTAGGTACAAGTATACATAAGTATAATTATCAGAGTATATATAAAATATGAAATAACTTTTAAAAACATTTGAAATTTTGGAGTTTCCAGACAAAATGGAGAGACTTACTGCTTTCTGAGCTCACGGAGAATGTAAACAAATAGGGTGGGGCGCGGTGACCGTATTAGAAAGTCAGGTGGGGGGAGCTGTATAGCGAGTTTTGGTCATAATTTGAAATGACCGTATTAGCGGACCGCCGTAAAGTGAAACGCCGTAAAGCGGGACCCTACTGTACTCCCAAATTCGTCCACTAACCTCTGCAATTTTTCTTTAGAATCACCCATAAGCACAGTATCATCAGCAAAAAGTAACTGTGTCAATTCCCATTTTGTATTTGATTCCCCACAATTTAATCCCACCCCTCTCCAGAGCACCCTAGCATTTACTTCTTTTACAACCCCATCTATAAATATATTAAAGAACCATGGTGACATTACACATCCCTGTCTAAGACCTACTTTTACCGGGAAGTAGTCTCCCTCTCTTCTACACACCCTAACCTGAGCCCCACTGTCCTCATAGAAACTCTTTACAGCATTTAGTCACTTATCACCTATTCCATATACTTGCAACATCTGCCACATTGCTCCCCTATCCACTCTATCATATGCCTTTTCTAAATCCATAAATGCAATAAAAACTTCCCTACCTTTATCTAAATACCGTTCACATAAATGCTTCAATGTAAACACCTGATCTACACATCCCCTACCCACTCTAAAAAATCATTGCTCATCCGCAATCCTACATTCTGTTTTACCTCTAATTCTTTCAATAATAACCCTACCGTACACTTTTCCTGGTATACTCAGTAAACTAATTCCTCTGTAATTTTTACTATCTCTTTTGTCCCCCTTCCCTTTATATAAACGGAATATACATGCTCTCCGCCAATCCCTAGGTACCCTTCCCTCTTTCATACATTTATTAATCAAAAATACCAACCACATACATGTACATGTTTATTTATACACACTCATCTGAGTTTTCTTTGACTTTATCTTAATAGTTCTTGGTCTTATTACTTTTCCTTTTATATCCATGGGGAAGTGGAATAAGAATCTTTCCTCCGTAAGCCATGCGTGTTGTAAACGTCAACTAAACTACCGGGAACAATGGGCTAGTAACCCCTTTTCCTGTAATAATTACTAAACAGAATAAGAAGAAAACTGTCAAAGTGGGATAAATGAATATACAAGGTGTGATATAGCACGTAATACTAGGATAACCCAAAAAAGTCAGGGTGACTTATTTCCATATGGATCCCTGTATCTGTACCATATGGTGTCCTGTACTGTATGGTACCCTGTACCATACGGTACCCTGTGCCATATGGTACCCTGTGCCACATGGTACCCTACACAATATGGTACCCTGCATCATATGTTATCCTGTACTGTATGGTACCCTATACCATATAATACAATGTACCATACGGTACCCTGTAACATATGATACCTTGTACCATATGGTCAATAGGTGGTGGTGGTGGCAGGAGACACCAGCCAAGACTGAGTGAGTGGCGACGCAAGGTAGCTACTGACTCAGCAGTTTCCAAGACAAAATGCTTTGTCATGCACCTCAAGTAACATGTCAAGTGCCTGTACATTTGTAAATATGTAATAGAACATTACTAATATACAACATTTTTGCATATTTTTGTTGTAAACAATTACTGTAAACAAAATAATGATGAAAATATAAGTGTTTGTGTTCAATACAACAGTACCATATAGTACCATATGGTACAATGAACCATATGGTATTGTACTGTATGGTACCATTACAACATATGGTACCATATGGTATCATTGCACCATATGGTACCATTGTACCATATGGTACCATTGTATCATATGGTACCATTGTATCATTCTACCATTGTATCATGTGCCATTGTACCATATGGTACCTGGAGTTTACCTGGAGAGAGTTCCGGGGGTCAACGCCCCCGCGGCCCGGTCTGAGACCAGGCCATTGTACCATATGGTACAATTATACTATATGGTACCATTGCACCCTATGGCACCATTGTACCATATGGTACCATTGTATTCAACACAATAACAGCACTAATATTTTCATCATTTTGTTTACAATAAACTTGTAAACAAGTTTTGTAAGCAATATAATGATAAATTAGTACAGTTATTGTGTTGAATACAATGAGTGTACACTTATACAACATACATTATATTGGTCTCACAGGCCACAAATTTTACTGGAAAAAGAAAAAAATTATAAAAGAAAAGAAGAAAGTATAAAAAAATGTAAAATAAAAAAAAAAAATGCGATTTTGCCGCCACCCGGTCATTTTGGGTCAACTTCCTGCTGCTGTATCTCGGTAAGTACTGATCAGAATTTTTTTTTTTTGTTTTATTACCTTCACAAAGATATTATCTTGAATTCTGTAAGAATTTTTTTTCAAATTTTCTTGGACACTGGGGCACCCCTTCAGATTTTGGGCTTGGACCCTGAAAGGGTTAAATATCAGTAGTAAAAAAAAAAAAAAAATTGGCACTGCCCCTTCAATAGTAATATAATATGTGGGGTAAGTACTAAGCTTGTGGAGGTCCTATAGCACCTGGGAAATAGGAGGCAGCACCTGGGAAATAAGAGGCAGAACCTGGGAAATAGGAGGCAGAACCTGGGAAATAGGAGGCAGAACCTGGGAAATAGGAGGCAGAACCTGGGAAATAGGAGGCAGAGCCTGGGAAATAGGAGGCAGAGCCTGGGAAATAGGAGGCAGAGCCTGGGAAATAAGAGGCAATCAGGTTTAACTCAAGGAAGTGGAATGAGAAGACAGCAGAACAAGATGAATAGCAGAAGCACTTAGGATTCCCTGCTACCAGTCTCTATTTCCACAGAAGGTATAGTGAGCCCTTGTAAGAGTTATGTCAGTTTAGACAGTGTAGAGCATGTTTAAGTGCATTTGCACCAAGACAACCTTACAAGAATTTAGTCCCCACTTTGATACACTGTAGGTTCTATAACCAAACATTGTATCCCATCAGAGCACAGTCTACAGTATGTGCTAAGCAGAATGAATGTACGTAACTCTTCTGGGAGGGTGGAGTAAATTTCACATCCAATAAATGATGCACCTTTTAAGTGTTGAGGATGTTATCAAGCTAAGATAGGCAGCTTAATGCTGGTCCTGAGCTGTGTGAAGCAGACAGTAGAGGAACCCCAACTGTCTGTGAAAATGTGTAAACAGTACTTAATGGGTAAAAAAATTTAACTACAAATCTCAAGTTTCTTATCAAGATTATGTAGAAAGATTGAAGCTCTTCAAGTGGTTCATGGAACCTAAACACCTGAAAAACAAATAGACTAAGAGAAATTACATGATACTGTATATAAATAAATAAACATTTGTAAGGTACATGGGACCAATTTTAAAGATGTATAATATAAAGTTAAGATTTAATAAATGTAAAGTCAGTCCTCATGACACAAAGAAGAAATCTTACCTTTGCTTTTAACCTTCTCAGAACCAAAGGCACTGCAACAACTGGGTTCTTTTTTAATCCATCTATAATATCTGGAGCTTTATCACCATATATTCTTCGAATAGCCCTTTGGTGTATTGTAGGCGAGTTTCCTCCTAGACAGTCGTCTAATCTAAATCTAGCTGCTTCCTCTGGACTCATCCTCTGGAGTTTTTTGTGTACACCTTCTAACACACGCATTGTTGCCAAATTTGTCTCCAGTACCACATCCAGCTAATTGTTCATGAGGAAAAAAAATGGGGTTAATGAACATGTGGGCATCCAGTGCAATACACTTGAGTTTAGAAAAGGAAAAATATACAATAAACTGTTGTTGAGGGCATGTTTCTTCTACCTGTTCATAGCAAGAGATAGTTCATAGCAAGAGATATTGTACTCTGCAACACCCCCCAAGTTTATAACAAAGCAATTTCATGATGTGCTTGAGCTTAGGTGAAATATGAGAAATTAGAATTATGCATGCTGTCTATGTGGCGAGGTGCTGAAACACATTGAAGCACTCCCGCAATGTCTCAGAAAGCTGTCCTAACAACTCTGAGTAGATAACCCATAATCTACCAATCTGTATTGGATTTTATCTCCACCCCACCTCACTAGTGTCTAATAACCATGACATGCAAGAGAAATGCCATGGGCATATGACACAAGAGGAAGTGAGTGTGCTGTGTTGTGGCAAGACTGACAGCTACCAGGGCATATGGGACAGAGCTGTGCATAAGTGCAGAGGGTAGTATATGCCTGGGTGTGGGAGGCAGTTTGAGATAAAGATAGCTCATGTCTGGGTATGTGGAATAGAGGGTTGTGGCGAGAGTACGTACATGCCTGGGCTCTGGCCATATGGAATGAAGGGCTACTATGAGTATACTTGCTTAATTGTGGTTGCAGGGGTCAATTCTCTGATCATGATCCTACCTTTGAACTTGCCACTCTTTAGACTGATTCCCTTTTAGCCTCGTGGGCTTGTTTATTGTTCATACCTGGTCTTAAAACTAGGAATGAAGCCTGCCTCCAACAATTCATCGCCAAGATCATTCCACTTCCTGAACACTAAGACGTGTCAGGAAAGATGAAAAAAGAAACACTGAAAATTTATGGGGGAAAAAAAAAAAAAAAAGTTTTCTCACCGAAAAATAGTGCATAATTCTGGCAACACGTTGATGTAATCAGCTTGTTTCAATCATATTTCTATGTTTTTTGAAAAAAGTAATTTTTTGTTCTTGCTCTAAGCAAGAGGACACGATAGCAATTCGTGTTTTTTTCCTTCAAAATTTACGATTTCTATGATTGTTTCATTCTAGATACACTACACTGCAACTTCTCTGAGTACTCCATTTAAGTGCAGGGAGTGATAGTGCCTCAGTCGCCTGTGAGCTGTCAACATGTGTGGAAGTGTGCAACATGTTGAGACGCGTGCCATGGTTTGTTTACCTTTGAATTTTGGCAAAATCGAACATTTCTCCTACTTTGAGCTCAATTTCAAGGTAATTTTCATTGTGAAACCAATCAAAATCATCCCAATTTCCATAATATATCTTCCATTCTATAAAATGAGACCAGGAAAACTAGAATACAATAAATAGCATACGAAAAAACACTGCAAAGTTGCTGTTTTAAACCAAAAACATGGAGTTTTTTTTTCTCATTATGCACTGTGTGCTGCAGCATTTTTTTTCTTCTGCGCACACTGACCACACAGACCCATTCTTTCATATGTAGGCCTACCAGCTTTCTCTTGCTAGATTTGAAGGCGCTAGAATTTATGCGTACTAGTATGGCACCAATTATGGCTTGCAAGCCATACTAGTATGGCACCAACCCTGAAAGGGTTAATTCAGTTTTCATACGTTTCAGTTTTAGACTGATTTTCTGTAATGGATTAAGTACGAAAACTGGAGGTCCACTGTATGTGTATAACTCGGCAATAAGTTACAGACGCTACTCTGTTGTTTTAGTGAAAAGTATTTATAGGAGTGTTGTGATTTTTGCACACGTTATTGAAGAATGACGGTTCTACTAAATTACATTATTCGTGATATGTTTTACCATTTTTTATTTATTGATTTTTCCCAACAAAAAATCCTTAAAAAAAAAAAATTATGCAATCTATTGACATTTCGTTCAAACAATATAGAATAGGGCACCATTTTTTTTTACACATCATTAACCCGTTCAGGGTTTCGGCCGTACTAGTACGGCTTACGTGCAGGGGTTTTTGATGTACTAGCACGCATAAATTCTAGCGCCGTCAAATCTCGCGGGAAAAGGCTGGTAGGCCTAGATGTGAGAGAATTGGTCTGTGTGGAGGGTGTGCACAGTAGAAAAAAAATCTGGGACCCAGTGGCGCATTGTGGGAACACCATCTTTGTAAACAATGTCCACAATGCCTCGCGGTAAGAAGTTCTTCACTCCTCGGCGAATTGGGACACTTTTGTTCCCCAGTGACAGTTCTAATACAGATGGAAGTGCCAGTGAAGATGAGTTTCAAGGTTTTGGTTAGGTTTTGACTGGAACTAATGACCATAATATCGGTAATAGTGAGGAAAACCCAAATGACCCTCAGCCTTCCACCTCTGGTGCTGGGCCGTCTTGTTCACGTTCATCTGTACCAGAATCAAAGAGGAAACTCCTATTTTCCCAAATCCCAGACTCAGATGTGAGCATTTGTGATGATAGTGATACTGAATATGAACTACAAGCTCTTCAAACTAGTTCCAGTAGTGATAGTGAAGTGCAATATTCCCCAGTGAAGCGTAAGTATATACGACGACATATGTGCTCTGGTAGTGTGCCATATGCTATTCCAAGGGAAAGGAGTACATCCCGTGGCTGTACAACAGGAACAGACAGTGAAAATGACGATAGTGTTGCAATTGGGATGGAAAATGTGCACGTGGCGGTAGTGGTGGTGTCGGCCGTGAGGCACCAGCAGTGGGCCATGCTGCCACCCACGCTGCTGCCTCAGCTGATCTACAACAAAGGCCACCATCCCCCACCCACCACACCAGCCTCCACAACCACAACCACCTGCCATTGTCCAGTACCCACCAACACCTGGGAATGGCAGGAAGCTGTCAATTTTGTTCCAAATCCCCACCAGTTTGATGAAAGCCAAAGCGGAACACGGCCATGTTGTACACTGGAGAACAATGCCACTGAACTGGAATGTTTTGAGTTATTCTTTGACGAACCCCTGATGGAAATTAGTGTCAGGGAAAGCAACAGATACTACGAGTACACCATGGCAAACACATTACTTTCACCAAAATCACGTCTACACCAGTGGAAGGAGACAACTGTGGCTGAGATGTATCTTTTCTTTGCCACAATAATGCTTATGCCACATGTGTATAAGCACAGTGTGAAATCATACTGGTCAACAAACCGCTTGATTGCAACCCCAGGTTTCTGTGATATAATGCCAGTGAATCGATTTGTGCTAATGTTACGTATGCTTCACTTCTCAGACAAAACCAGGCCTGACAGAAACAACAGGTTATATAAGATTAGGCATGTGTTTGTGTATCTGAAAGAAAAATTCAATATGTATTTTTATCCCTTCAGGAAACTTGTAATTGACGAGTCTTTGATTCTGTTCAAAGGAAGACTCTCTTTCAAGCAGTACATACCAAGCAAGAGGAAACACTTTGGTATAAAGTTGTTTGTGCTTTGTGATTGTTACAGTGGTCTGGTATTGCATATTTATTGTGTACACTGGAAGTTATACATTGCAAAATACCCGGAAGTTATTAGGCATCTCTGGTGATGTGGTTAGAACAATGATGGAACCATATCTTGGTAAGGGGCATATATTATATACAGATAACTGGTACACAAGCCCCACACTCAGTGATTTTTTGAGAATAAACATGACAGATGTGTGTGGCACAGTGCGTGCAAATCGGGAACATATGCCCAGGTTTGACGCTGGCACTTGTAGAAGCGAGGTGCAAGCGTTTGCTGCCAATGACATCATGGCATTTCAGTGGCATGACAAATGAGATGTCACACTGTCGTCATCAGTTCACCTAATGAAATGGCAGACACTGGCAGGCAGCATAGAGAAAGCAATGAACCCATTCTAAAACCTGCAGCAGTGATGGACTACACCCTCAATATGCATTCAGTGGACAAATGTGACATGCAGATTGGGTTTGCTGATTGTGTTCGCAAGAGTTATAAGTGGTACGTAAAACTCTTTTTCCATCTGAACATTTCCATACTGAATGCTTATAATATGTATAAGATGAGGACCAAAAACAAACCACCATATGGCGAATTCTGTTTGTCTGTCATCAGACAAATAGTATTCAAGTACCAAGGAACAGCACCTGTAATAGACCGCCCACCAAATTTTCAACAACTTCCTTCTCGTTTGATGCATGGTGATCACTTCCTGGTAAAACTGCCTACTACTGCTTTCAAGAAGAAGGCTCAAAAGAGGTGTTACGTCTGTGCACATACAAGAAAATGCCCACAACAACGCAGAGACACTCGTTTCATGTGTGAAGAATGTAAAACACCACTGTGCATGACACCATGTTTCAAAGACTTCCACAGGCTGCAGAACTTCTAGAAACATTCCCTGTGACTGTATATGTGTATATAAAATACAGAAAAATAGTAATAAACAACATTTCATATCGTTTGTTTGTGTAAATATTTTTTGTAAACAAAACAATGACAACAGTGTTTACGCCCTTATTGTGTAGTACTGAAAAAGAAATAACTTACAAAATACTGATCATACTGGTCTCACAGGCCATAAAAGTTACTTGAAAAAAGAAAATTAAAAAATAATAGAAATTACATTTTTTTTTTTCAACAAGTCGGCCGTCTCCCACCGAGGCAGGGTGACCCAAAAAAAAAAAGAAAATCCCCAAAAAGAAAATACTTTCATCATCATTCAACACTTTCACCACACTCACACATTATCACTGTTTTTGCAGAGGTGCTCAGAATACAACAGTTTAGAAGCATACACATATAAAGATACACAACATATCCCTCTAAACTGCCAATATCCCAAACCCCTCCTTTAAAGTGCAGGCATTGTACTTCCCATTTCCAGGACTCAAGTCCGACTATATGAAAATAACCGGTTTCCCTGAATATTTTTTTTATTTTTTTTTTATTATCACACTGGCCGATTCCCACCAAGGCAGGGTGGCCCGAATAAGAAAAACTTTCACCATCATTCATTCCATCACTGTCTT